TAAGGACTTGTGTCGTTAAGTTTCATCGGAACGAAGTTACGGAAAGTTAATTAACAAACAGAGACGTAACAGTATTATTTTTGTGAGTTATTATTTTATGTTCTAAACTGAATATTTGATACACTTAATCTCAATAATCGCGCTAAAACAAACGCTATAACGAACGAACGTTAACTTCAACAATACCCTGTGACTGCAGTTCAATTACTCACTATCCACCCACACATTACATTCCCCTCTTTTATATACCAGCCTACCCTATCTAGTAAATACTAGAGCATTCGCCAAAGTACAGGATAATTCTAGAAAGTAGAGAGCGTGAGAATCACATGATCTCGATGACGCAACAATACAATATTCTATAACTATTATTATTTAACTATCTTTCTAATTTAACTATAAGTGGTTTTAAAATAATTTCCTTGGCTGCTCGAATAATTCATAAACTGTCATCAAATGAGCTAGCTTTTTATGAAATACATTAAATTAAAATCTCTTACAAATAGCAAATTTCAGAGAGTTATTATTGACATTTTTTAAAGACAGGATGTGATAGGAGGGCATGGCATGTGCATTTGACTTTCAGTGAAGCAAGAAGATTGCAGGCTATGAATTTAGATTATGTCTTAGCAATATCTATAATATAAATGTGCAACTTATATTAAATTCAGAAGCTCAAATGGGGATAGAAAGAATATCTAAAATGGGCAATTTGAAGCAAAGTGTCACATGGTAAAGGGAAGTAACGATTGAGGACTTATCTAAATATTTCCTTTCAAAATTAAGAAATTAAATTGGCTATATAATATTTATTACAAACTATGTTTTGATGCCAAGTTTATTCAAATATATTCAGAATAAAGTTGTTTAAATTAAACTTTGAATTTAACTATAAAAGATTGTAACCCTCACTTGCACACATATGGTTAACAACTAGCCTAACACAGTGTAAAGTACACAATTTTAATTAGAGTTTTGTACTTAAAGCTTAATAAAGAAAATCTGTTGATGTTAACTGTTAAGTCCTTGACTCTGTTTTATACATCAGTGGTGTTACTAAGGGATACCGCAATGATCTTGTCCAAAATTACCACAGCGTGGTACATTTTGCTTAAAACAAAAAAGCACATATTTCTGCCTTGTGATACTTGGACATTTATCAGTTTTCTGAATGATTCTTACATACTTCAGCTGCTATTTGTATTTTGGCTATCTAACTTCTATTTTTTGTTTAAATTGTTATAATTTGGTATGTGCATGTGTATTATCTGCTTCCACAATGCTACAACACTGATATGTTATCTATTTTATAAATGCTACATTTTTAATTTACCTGTTTACTTATTGCCATACCACTGACATATTATTTGTATTTGTTGTTGTTTTTATTGCTATAACGTTGTTACATTATCCAGCTGCATTGTTAACACTACAGCTTTGGCCTTTATATCTTGTAAATGTAGAATATCTACAAAACTTATGATTATATAATCAAGAATAAATGTCTTAAACTTAAAACAATCTAAGAGCTTAATTATTCACCCACATTTTACACTGAATACCTGAGCTTATAATCTTACAATCTAACAACATTAACTTACAGTTGGCACAGCTATTCCAAGAAGAGAAACACAAGTTACTGCACTGGCACCTGTCTGGTCAGCAATGTAACCTGCAAGAACTCCTCCAATAATTCCTCCAATGTCAAACGGTACTGATAAATAGGCTGATTCTTGTGAACCTGATGGTGCTGAATGCAAACAGAGGGAACTGTACTGATTCAGTTATATGTGTTCATATATTACACATAAAACAATCATATCTTTTGATTTTAAATACAATTATACAATTACTTACATAGTTTACACATTACTTCAGCTGTTTTGTCCCCACATATAAAACCTACTGAGAGGCTACATTTAAAATAAAATATTTCAAAAACAGTAAAAATGTTACAGTAATGAAAACGTAAATCAGCTGATGGAGAGAATAATGCAGTGATGGAAAAAGGCAGGGATGCTAACAGAAGTTATTGATACCATCAAACATAGAACGCTAAAGAATTGTGGATACATTTTCAGATAGAATACCTACCGAAACACAAGAGAAATGGGAGGGGAGTAAGTTTTGAGTACGGATAAATGATGCCAAAGAATGGATTCAGGAACAAGGAAATGGAAACGGTAAAGGAGAATGCACTAGCTGTTAACAGCATGTTAAAAAGTTCCGTTATTTTCCATTATAGTAATATTAAATTTTTCTAAATATAAGAAATTTACACTTACTTGAGGCATAAATGAATTTTGGTAACCAAAAGAGGAACGTGTAACTGACTAGCTTAGCAAAGAAGAGGCATAACGAAAACTCAATGACACCCTACAGAAAAACAAAACAAGAAGGCATATTTACACAAATTTCTTTATCATTTTTTTTTACAGTTTGCTATCAAGCAGTCAAGTTTTACATGTAACAGATCTTACAACTGTATGAGGAAGTAAACTGGATTGTCATCGTAGTATTAAAAACAACATCAACTAGAACTTACTTATCAATTTAACATAAAAACTTCGATTACAACAGTGCATCTTAACAATTTCAAATCTTTACATCACATTTACGTTAAAGATTGATGTTTTGCTTTTGAAACATTAAGTAAAAGGGAAATGCTTTCTTTAGAAATTGAAATTAAATACCAAGGATAAATTTTCATAAGTTAACATTTACTAGAGTTCTATTTTAACACTTTCATACTAGAAGAATATACAATCACACTTATTAGCATTCTAGTTTGCTGAACAGTTGATAATAACTCTTCAAAATTTCCACTGACAAACAGAAAACTTCAATATTTTAGAAGAATCTATTTCATTAATTAATATTTTAAATCACGTTTTTATCCAAAGTAGTGTCAAAGTGCAGAAACACACCTTCTAGAGAAGTGCATAGCTAACCTAAGAAAACAAAAGCCCTACCAAAAACGTAGATTCAAACACATGCACAACTTACTAATAGAACTTATATTTCTTATGTTGACCCCAGCCCCCAAAGTGTCTCGAGACTTTGTTAGTTTTTGATGTAATTACATTTTAGCACCATATACCAAGTTATCTGTCACTTTATTATTTAGATGATGTGAATAATTTGTTACCTCAAACATATCTACATGTAAACCCAAAACGCCAGAATGTTTACCTTCAGTTTAGCAACTTTAATGATTTGATTGTGAAAGAACATGCGTGCAGTGGGTAAATCAGTAGTCTTTAACATGTTACACTTACTGGTATCTTCAAAGCTTCCCAAAAGGTGATGGCTTCTTTATCTGAATTGGATAACTGTGGGTTTGGTTTGTCATTCTGGTATATTAGAGGAGTACCCTCAGTAGACTGTATAGAAAAATATGTAATTATAACTACATAAATAAACACTTTGAAAGTAGTTAAATTACAGACTTCTTATATAAATATGTGCATCTCATATTTTATACACAGTCATCATTGTAAATTCTGAATATTTACAATGTATAAATAATAAATAAATATGTACTGTTAAGTATTCTTAAATGGCCTTCATTTTTACAAGCCAACAATTCTTTGTGTAGTAAGATAAACATCATACAATAATAGCATTATAAAATCTCAGTATGTACATGTATAACATCAGACTGTTATATAATAGTAACATACTCATATAGATATATGGAGAAATGAGTGCATTATATTAAAAAGATTTTGGATATGCAAATAAGTAAGTCACTCGACAACAACAAACAATATAAAGTCACAGTGTATCAGAACTACATGTTAACATTGCTTGGCATTAGGTTGTATGATGCTACCAAAAATTGATCACTTTAAGAAGGATATGTAACAGTTATTTCTAATAAAAAATATTCTTACACTTAGATCATAAATATGTGTTTAGATCAGTGATTTAGAACTTCCAATCTGATAATATTCCTGGTACTTAATGGCATTGGAATACAAACAAAATGGATCAACTTGAGGAACCAGGACCATCCAGACAAAGACTTGTAAGCCATGATAAGTAAGGTATGATATCTTGTAATATGAGAAACCACAAACACAAAGATCAGTGGCTAAAACCATCCATGTGATCCAGGCAAATGTATGTAAAAATAGTCAAAGAGAATTTACATCTCCGATCAATCCCAACACGCCTCAAGCAGCTTGAGAATGAAACAGGTATTCATGCAATTCAATAAGAGAACATATCAGTCAAGTCATTGTACACTAGATGGCTTATAGAAAGCAAGCAGGGAGGAAATGGCAGCCTTATGACAGTCTTTTGCATTGAAAACTATGCTGCAGAACTATTGCCAAAATACACATATCCACCTGGTAGAACATGAATTGTAACAATGTGATGAGACTCAAAATCATTTTAATATAATGTACACAATGTCTCTATATATAAAAGTTGTAAGTCAGACAGAAGTTGAAGAGTTTTTAAAAACAAACCCTCTTTCTAACATATTATTTTACTTGATGAAATTATTAATTTCTTGGTTAAACCATTCAACATACTTATATAGACATTTATTAAATAAAAATTACAACAACTTTCTCTTTTGTTCACATAAAAAGCCTGATTTATCTTTTAATGTGTTCATTACTGATATAGCTTTTGAAAGTTATAAATATTTTAAAATATTTTTGGTTAACAAAAATACTAATTTTTTGCTCAATATATTTTAAAATCCGGATGTAATAATCCCATAAGAGAGTATTAGTTCTGTATACGATACAATAAAATTTATCATCACCTGTACTGTCTGTGAACCAACACATACAAAACATACATTTTAGTTTCCATTCTATGTTTTAACTACAAGTCTCATGATCCTGAAATTTAAAATATTCAGCTCTAATTCACAAAGGACTATTATGAAAAAACACTGTAGTTGTTGTAACTGATGCACAAAAACTATTTACGGAGATAGTTTCTTTTCATGGTCCTTAAATTAGGATGCAGTCTTTATCTACAGGTAATGCCACTGCCTAAGTTAAACAGTTTATGCATAAGAATAAATATAATAAAGGAATTCAAAGAGAGAAACCTCTGCATATTCAATATTTCAAATAATTTATTTCTATCAGGTCTTAAAAACATAAAGAAAATGCAACTAATGACAATATAAATCCCAAGTAGTTGTATTTAATACACATAAATTTATTATTTTATAAAGAGTAATACCTTCCTAAACAGGGCATTGGAAAAGTAAATGTTGTATAATTCTCTGAAAATAGTCTCCAATGTTCTAGAAAGGTTAATTACCAATTGGTCATCAATACATTATTTTCCTACCTCTAAAAAACTTGCACGGTGATACACTGGAGGCTTACATCCAACATCTTCTGGATCTGTGACAGTAGGTAAAACAGTACTTGAATTTTTGTATAATATAAAAAGTGGAAATGTCTGAAAAGTTATTAATGTTATTATTTTCAAGTAAAAAAAAGTCTAGAGCAATAAACTAAATCCTGCTTTTAATATGCTTATTGTGAAATAGAAAAACCTAAACATCTTAGATTCAACTCTAGTCAATAAAACACAATGAGAACTTTAGCAAGAGAACCAGAGAATAATACTTTTGTCCTCTTGCGGCACAATTACAACAAAGCTGTTTACTTGTATGTTTGTACTATTTTCAGTTTAATTATAAATAAGGTTTTAAAGTCACAACTGTATAAACATTTATGGTACAACAATATCGTAACTTTAAAAATGATTCTTCATTAGAATTGGAATTTTTTCAACCTAAATAACACCTTTTATGCATGTTGACTAAATGGACAGGTCAGAGACCCTATGATTCATGAATAACATCCCTTATTTTTAACTACTGACCAGAGAGAGAAGGCAGGCAGTCAGCAACTCTTGCAACAATAATGACTGTGTCTAGCTCCATAAACCAAATAATGTAATTAACTGTCACTAATAGTGTGGAACCCAACATTAGATCATGTCTGGCTCAAATGCTTTATTTCTATTACTCTAATAAATATGTGGTTATTGAAATTACATTTAATTTTGGCTGGGTCAGTCAAAGTTGCTTCATCTTTGCCCAACAAGAATTGGTTTTATTTATCCTATTTTCTAAAAATTTGGACATTCTGAAGCATCACTTTATTGAACAAAAAGAACATACAGGAATACAATCTGCTTAGTATATATAATAAATTGTCTAGAAAAAATTATTTACTTTTAGGTGCTATCTAAACATGCTGTAATCTTCTACCATAAAAATGAATATAAAGTGGCATTAATTATTTCAATTTAAATACAAATATAGAAAAACATCATTTATTTAAGTTTTAACAAATAGTACTATCATTTTTGGTTACAATATAATGTGGTATTTACTTATTTTGATTGAAATAAAAGACATGGATACAGAAGAATATTACTCAAGTTTAACAAATACAGTAGTTTAATTTTGATAAAGATTGATGTGCTCTTCTGTATTTATATTTAAATCAAAATAAGTAAATACCATTCTATGTTTGCACAATTTAAATTAGTAGTGCTCTTCTGTATTTATATTTAAATCAAAATAAGTAAATTAATGATCTAAATTGTGCAAACAAAGAATGGTATTTACTTATTTTGATTTAAATATAAATATAATAGAGCACTACTAATTTAAATTGTGCAAACATAGAATGGTATTTACTAATTTAGATTTAAATCTAAATACCAAGTGGTAATATTAATTTCAACAAATCTAGAACAATATTATATATTTTTATATAGAATATTATTACTTCGTTTCATTTTAATATAACTTAGAGAGAAGTACTACTTATTTATATTTAACAAATACAGAGAGGTGTTATTTATTTATTTTTAAATATAAAGTGGTATACCTCATATTTATTTAAATAAGTGCAAACAATAAATATTTTGATGCACTTTCTCAAATTTGCCAAACTGGTATGTAGTAATATAATGACACTAGTAATTGGATATATATGTATCAGTCAATTCATTACTTACAAACATCATTATTTTTTCCTAAAACAATGGCCTGAAATAATTCAATTTTTTAAAATTAAATAAGGAACTATTTATGCATTCCTACAGTTATACATATGTATTAAGTTTCATAAAAAAAATTACAGTAACATCAGTTTCTGGTGAATGGTTTCTTGGAATATTATTGGTTAAAAAAAGATTACAATAAGTTTAAGTTTAAACATATTTTTTTAAAAAGTTTAAACATTTAATAAGTTAACCGAAATCTAGGATCCCTCTTTTCTACATTACAGCAAGAAATATACACTTTGTTAGATGGTGAATTTTACTTTTATTTTTTATGTTTTTTACTATTAATTAATTATTCCTTTTATTGTTCAGTTTAACTATGAATTTTTAGTTACATTAAATCACTAACTCACCTTCCATTTAAAGTGCGTTGATTTTGAGTATTTATGTGCTAGAAAACTGACAAAAGCTTTACCTAGTGGTGACGTACAGATATTAATATTGTGAAAGATTATGTAGCTTTATGGTAATAGCTAGTCACATGAGATGTAACCTCAGGGTCTAACAACTAAACAAAAAATCTTCCTTTATCTCTAAAACGAGTTTGTTCATGAGATATAGTTAGAAAGAGTTATTGCTAATTATTACTTCATATTGTTCTTAATATTGAGAAGTGGTTTAATTTTGAAAGATTGTGTTATTCTCTGGTGAATTAGGTTTTTTTATTTTTCTGGTTCTTTTTGATAATTTTTGTGATATTCATTGAAATTAATCACGTTGAAATTTATGTTGTATTGTTTCTTAATGTTTGTACCTAGTCCTGGTCAGACACAAGTTTACTAATTGTTTTTTTTTGTAAGTAATAAAATTTTTATTGTAATTGTTTGAAAGTTTCTTTATACTTTTGTTGTTATATATAATAATTGTTTTCGTTTGATCCTGTTTGCATTGACATTTTGTTTAGTCTGTTACAAATTGAAGGTTTAAAAGAAAAACAGTAAAAAACATATACACCAAAGATTATATGTAATATACTAGTCCATTACATATTGAAGGTTTAAAAGAAAAACAGTAAAAACATATCACCAATGATTATATGTAATATACTAGTCTGTTACATATTGAAGGTTTAAAAGAAAAACAGTAAAAACATATCACCAAAGATTATAAGTAATATACCTACCAGGTACAAGGAAAAGAAAGATTAAAAACCCTGCAGTGCCAACAATTGCTCCACAAATAATAAATGAATAACCCCAGTTGACTTCAACATACAGTCCTGCCACATATGCACCCAGTATGTTTCCTACGTAGAGGTGGGAGTTCCATAATCCGAACAAAAGTCCTCGTCTGTAGTACAAAATTCATGTTTAATGTATGTAATGAAACCAAATATGCAAAAAAATACTGCTACCATAAATATTTTATTTTGACTTTATGTATATATATATATATGTATGTGTGTGTGTGTATATATACATAAACATTTTTTTGTGTAAAAGTTAACATTTTCTTACACTAAAAATGTATTTCTGATGGGCACTTGCCTTTCTTACCCAAAGCTATCTCAATCCTGGACTGACCTCTAAGCATTGTTAAAATGTTTCAATAACAGCACACCAGTCTTTTATACCCCAACAGCTATGCACCATTTCAGAACATGTGCTGATCATGTGACAACCCTTCACCAATCATACTGCACCATCAATACTAGTGCAGCTAGCTCCCTCTACTATTCTAGACAATCCTCACTTTCAAGAATTGGCAGGTTGAAACCAGAAACACTGGAATATCAGTGAGGAGGAAGGGTGGGAAGTGGGTAGATGGAGGAAATGTTAACTTCTGAAACAGGCTTACCTCTGATAAAGGTACATCAATATCCAATCAAGCGGAAGGTAACCACACTGAAAGAACAGGTGTGAAAGAATATGGAAAAAAAGCACAACTGTGGGACATAGCACCACTTCTGGAACAGGTATGCTCTTTGCCCAGCAATTACACAGGAACAAAAAGAGGGAGGAATTGAATTGGCAGGCACCAGTGCATTCATGAAAGAGATGTACAGCACCGACCCAGTGGAAAAGTGCGGTAGAACCATGACTTTAAACAGTACAGCATTGACAAACACTGAAAGTCTAGTGTGGAAGTGACAATGGGCCAATATATGTATGTGCCAAGTGTAGTGCCTTGGGTTCCATCGAAGCTTGTTATGTGCAATCCATCCAGGCAAAACATCTAGTGGAAGTGCCTTGTATAAGATATTGTGATCAACAAGTGTGGTCCTCCCATGCAAAAAACATCCCGGGGAAACACCTTTGTTATGTAGGATTATGAAAAAAAAAATTACAGGTATGAGTATAATCATGAGGGTTATCATAACCAGCCCTTATGCATTATATGTCATCCACATATATAGCAGGCTGTAGTACCAAACATAGTGACAGTGAGTCATAGTATGGTGCCAAAGAGAAACAAAATAACTATACGTGGCTAGAGCTGAAGGACAGTGAGTCGTATATGAATAGGCCTAGTGCAGTCCACCAGAGCAAAAAATATTGACGGGACGCATCTTGCATAACCTTGTGAGATCAACAAGTGCAATCTGCCCAGGCAAAAAACATCCAAGTGAAGCACCTTAGGATATCTCAGATTATGCCAAGTGTGGTCCACCAAAGCAAAAGACATTGAGGGGAAGTACCTTCGGATATCTCAGATTATGCCAAGTCCAGTCCATCCAATCAAACACATCCAGTGGAAGCACCTTGCATAAGCTGTGAGATGAACATGTGCAGTCTGCCCAGGCAAAAACATCCAGGGGAAGCATCCTGGGATATGTCAGATTATGCCAAATGTGGTCCATCTGGACAGAAAACATCCAGAGGAAGGAACTTGCATAAGAAATTTTTGATCAACAAGCATGATCTGCTTGGGCAAAGACATCTGAGGGAATCCCTTTGGATATTAAATATTATTGTATAATCCATTGTTCAGCACTGTAATGATTACAACTACAGCCCTCTTCTCACTGAGTGGGTACACATGGGCTAGAATTCTTTATTTTGTTTTTCAACACCCACTTAAGAGGAAACTTCCACAGTCCAGCACTCCAGAAACTGGAAAAAGGAAATGGTAAGGACTCACCTGGTCCATTAGAAGAAAAGACGAGGGGTAATATGTGCTGGGGAGTCCGGAGGAATGACACACTGGAGACAGTGCAACGGGGTCTGCAATTCTCTATTTTAAAAAGCAGATAGACTTCGATTGTAGGAATCAAGGGTAAGTAGGGATGGCCAGAAATCCCATTTGCTTTACTCATGAGGTCCATGAAACTAGTAACTTTTAGTAATAATAGATACACATACCACTAGACAAGCTGCTGGTGGTCTTACAGAAACACCCCATCTCAACAGTGAGTGTCATAGAATTATCTATATCTAGTGCAAATATCATACAAAGCATATTTGATAAGGCAACACCTGCCACCAGGTGAAATCCTGAAATACGATATGTATCAACTACAAATATATATAAAAAGTAATATGTCGACTTAACCCAGTCAAAGTTTCCTGAAATGCGACATGCATCAACTAAAAATGTATAGACAAAGCAATATGTTGACTTACCCCAGTCAAAGGTGACCAGACATGTGTAGAATCACCACAGGAAGAGGATGATACCTGCCTGAGTTGTGCAGATAATGTGCAAGAAATGTATTGGCAGTTGTACATATTCTAGCCTGAATGATCTCCTCAAAATTCCGGTGAAGGTGAGCAGCTAAAGACATAGTTACATGACGAAGTAGGTGGGAAGAAACATTGTATAGACAACGACCTTCGATGGATAAATCAGAATACACCAGACATATGAAGTGACAAATCCAACCAATGAGTGCAATAAGGGACAGATCATGGGACACTGAAGGAATCCTTGGAACAAACAGATGGGAATGATAACATGAGAGGAGGCAGTATGAGCCAACTAACATTTCAGGGAACAAGCTGGACAAAGAAGTTTATCCAGAATCAAATGAGAGCACAGGTGGGAAATGAAAAGTAAGAAAATAAGAGAAAAGGCCAAACCACCTGCCAGGCAGCAGAAGTCTTGGGAAGAAAGGCCCAAACAGGATAGAGGATAACATCAGAGGAGTGGGAAACATCCATGGCATTAATATTGGAATAATGATGACCACAAGCAAGGAGAAGGAGGAAAAGAACTTAAGGGGAAAATGGTACAAGGAACACATAGCAATGGGGTCAAATGGAGAACTGAACAGAACAGAAGGACAAAATTGAGATCCAATATGGCAAAACAATGGGACATGGAGGATGTAAGATAAAAAATGAAGGAAAGAATTGGGGAGGAAAAAGCTTTCAGGAAATGGGAGAATCAGAAGGTGTTCGACAGGGCAGCCCTATAACTATAAACAGTTGCCACAACAAACCATGAACAAACAACCAGGCAAAGAACTGGGAAAGATGAGGTACCAAAGGATGAGAGGGGTGGAAGCCAAAGCAAACAGACCAGGGACTGAAGATAGAACACTGCTACTGGTACACTGACAAGGAAGAAGGTGGAATAGAACAGGAAAGAAAAGATGCTACACGAGGGGTGAGTCCCTGAGCTGGGGCAAGGGAACAGACAAAAGCCACATGTGAAGATGGAGTTTGTTGACGTCAGAATGAGCTATGTCCAATCACATTTGTTGGAGGAGAGATTGGGACAGAGGTAAGTGCAGGAGATGATTCTCCAGTAGAGGCCAGAGCACAGGGAACCACATCTAAACAAGCCAATATGGAACAACAAGCAAGACACGACAGGGAGTAGTCGGGATAAGGGAAAATACTCTGGAGAGGAGGCTGATTAGAGGGTAGGCATATGGGTGAAGACCCCTCCAATCCTGACTGAATGCATCTACTCCCAGCATTGAAGGGTGTGGAACCTGAGACCAAAAGGAAGGCATTTTGGCATTCCTGTGAGTGACAAACACATCTATATATGATGTTTCCAGTTGAGAACACATCCACCAAAATACCTGTGGAAAACGGGACCATTCCATGGAGAGAACCTGGTTGGTCGGCCACCAGATTCATAATGCCGGGAATATGATACGCCAAGATTGCCAGGTGGTGGTCATGAGCCCAGTAAAGAAGATTCAGAGTCTGAAAACACAGAGAACTGGATTTAGTTCCCCCTTGCTTGGTGATATAACCAACAACAGTGGAATAGTCAGAATGAACCATAACCACCCACTCCCTCAGGAGTGGAATGAAATGATACAGAGCCCCATAAATTTCCAAAAAGTTCCAGGATGTTGAAAATGGAGAGTAGACTCATCAATGGACCATGAACCCAAAATCTCTTGGGATTCAAGGAAAGCCCCAAGCCAGTAAACAGATGAGATTCTGGACAAGGTGGAGGAATGGGAGCTCTGCTGTGGACACTTCCCTGCTGAGCCACCAAGAAAGGTCAGCCCTAATCTCAGGGGGAAGGGTAATGGCATAGTCCAAGGGATTATGGGAAATGTTCCACTGGTCAGGAAGTGTTCACTGAAGGGAACGCATATGAGCTCGAACTAAGAGAATGATAGCTTCCAAGGAAGCCCACATCTCCAAAAGAGAGAGAGAACCCTCACACAGTGAGAAAAGGAGAGAGTAGGTCATTGAGATTAACCAATCCATATCCTTGAGCCAAAGTGGAGAAGGCTTGGTCCAATAAAGATGGGAATTGAAGAAAAAACCCCAATGGAAAAAGATATTAAGTGGGGTTAAGAATGGGTTTCTCCACCTGGATCAGAAAACCCTACCCAATTTGCTTCCCAAAGAAGTAAGCAGGACACAGGAAGGGGCGAGCAGGAGCCAGTCTTCCATGAAAAGGAGAGTCCAAAGACCCAAGTATTGAAAATAACAGGCAAAAGAGTGCACCAATCGACAAAACACATGAAGCCAAAGAACGACCAAACAGCAGCGCTTGGAACTGGAAGACATGACCCTCATGGCCAAACTGAAGAAAACGGTGTGACACTGGAACAGTTTGAATATGAAGATAGGCACCAGTCATGACGATTTGGTCATCAAGAGTAAAACCACGGTTGAGTGGGTACTACCCATTCGACAACCCCTTTGGGTAGTAGGTCTTGAACAGACTAGGGAAGATGAGTGAATGAGGTATGATCCTGAGAAGGAGATCGGGAAGTGGATGGGGGAGCAGAACTGAAGGCAGCAACCTTTAGACAGAGCCCATAGAACTGTCATGAAGTGTAGTAAAAAAACACATACACTAATACTTAGAGAAAGTATTCATTACCAATGAACTAACAAAACCTAGAGTCTATAAAGTACATAAAAATAAGGAACTTGTTAATAAAATATGACCTAAAACATAAAACAACAAGCAACAGCTAAGGTATAAAACCACTAAAGGAACTTAGAAGATAAAAGACACTTAAAATATCGAACTTATAAGTCCATTCAAAGAACCAATAAGACAAAGGACACGAAAGTAAAAACCTACCCTGAAGAACATGAGAACGAAAAGGCACCCAGTTAACAATAACAAAACTTGACTCAAATCTAATCCCCAATTAGATGTGACTAATAGTAAAGAACAATGAACTTACAAACTAACATAAACGGTGATAGGAAGTATCTAGCTTACCAAATACTGAACAGAGGAGACATGAATGACATACATTATTGCATGAGGAAATTAGGTCAATTCACACAAGCTCACATAAACTCGCTAAACATGGGTATACCTACTGGGAGTGAGGAACACACACACACTGAATAACTTACCAGAGATCTCCTGGGAAAAAGAACAATACCTAACCCAGGAGATTACATGGAGGTGCAGCAACAGGTGGAAGGTGTAATATAAAGAAATTTACACTCAGTAGTTACACCTGCCCCCCAAAATATCATAATGTGAAAGGAAGAAATCGTCTGCCAAATGTAAAAACATGAACATGTACTTCCTCGGCAAATATCGTCGACCCTGAGACGTGGGGACTTGTGTCAGAACCACTGTCAACTGCCGCGAGAATCTCATCATCTGTCATATTAAATCTCGAATTCATATGAATAAATTAAAATTCGGAAAACAGAAATATTTCTGAAACAAACAAGTAGAAACAATGGAAATCAAACACAAGAAGTCGAAACTTGCAGTTGAACCTGATACAAATTTGTGATCAAACACAATCGAACTTTTGTAGTAACGTAGAGAGTGAGTTAAAATACACGTTTACAAACTAGAATGCCAATCGAGAAAGTGAGGATTGTTCTAGAACAATACCTCTGAGCTAACTGCACTAGTATAGATAGTGCAGTATGATTGGTGGAGGGTAGTCAAATGATTAGCACATGTTCTGAAATGGTGCAAAACTGGTGGGATATAAAATAATAGTGCACTGTTAACAATGCTTAGAGGTCAATACAAGACCAAGATAGCTTTGGGTGAGAGAAATATTGTATAAAAGCCTTTCCCTTACAAAGTGAAAAGAAGCATACAGTAATTAAATGGTTCTATCTATCAGAAGCTAATTGATGGAGTATATAAAGGATAAATCCTTCCAAAGTTCTGTTTAAGGATGACTTTTTGTGATTTTTTTAAAAGCTGAATGCTGGGGAAAAATCAAAACTTGGTAACTTAAGTGTCAGCACTTTGCATTGATACTTGTTTTGATCCAAAGCAGGCGAAACCAGCAAAGAAGGATTGTATTCTTTGCTTTATATTCATTGGAAAGTTTATAAATTTGTTTGCAAACGTTGTGTCAACATCTAAACCAAAGTTTGAAATGTTAACTCCTGCTATCTACTGATCATAAAACTCTAATGAAATGGTTGGACTGCAGTAGTTTGAATCATTAAAAAGTACCTTACTAGCAGCTGCTTGAAGGTTAGCTCTTTAATTCACATGGTATAGAGTAGTTGTCTGGTATACAAGAGACACTTGTTTCAAAACTGGACCATATGACCATTTCAGGACCACCTAGTGGCTAAGCTATAAACATCCTTGAGATTAAGCCTGAGGATGGACCTTCTCTGTGAGAAAGGAGGAACACGATAATCTAATATGTTATAAGTGCTTAGTTGCTAACAGTTGCTTGGGGATTAACCCTTCAATTCAGCAGGTAGAGGGAGAGGGACTGGGTTCAAGCTTGGACAATGCAAATGTTCAAATACCACTAGACCATTAATTTCACATCAAACGTTTCACTGAATCTAAATTCAATATAAAATCAAGAAGCAACTGAATTGGTCGTTATCCACGCTATCTTATGAATGATCTCTGGGCTTGTTTTGTATTCTTCACATATTCAATATATTCTTAAAACCTGTTTACATCAGCAGATAATATGAGATTTCTTTTTATAATCAGGAAGTATTTTACCTTAATCAGAGAATCTGAAAGTTTTAGATTAGTTTCATGAAACAACAACATGCATGCACTTAGCATACTGATGTTTTGACTTTGCCAACAGTACGTAACACCTGTTTTGTCTTTTATACTAGATTGGGATCATTTGAATGCAGAAGCCCATGTTATTAGCAGCTAAGTAAATAAAATTTTTAATATAACTGAAAAATTTAAACACTATCAGTCAAAAGCTATGTCTAACAAATGAATATGTAAATGTAACTGAGTTACTGTTGCTCATTGGCCATTTTGATCATGTCTTACTCTCAGGTAGAACTTAGCCTAAATGGTTATAAATATTCTAAACTAGTCAAATGTACTAACCTAGCTTTTCCAAACCAGTTTCCGATGCAAGTTACGACACTAGGCCAGCCTGTGCTTTGAAATGCCCCACCGAGAACCTGTCATATAAAAAAATAAAATAATTTCATAAAAAAAATAATAATTCTGATACTTGAAAATTTAAGACTTTGCATACCATAACATCTCTCTCTTTACTGTTCACCTGAACACCTTCAATCATTAAGTTTTCTCTATAAAAACATTTATCATGGAGAATGTCCATGAATGTTTTAGAACTTGTGTTTAGGGAAGGAATTTCAACTAGTGGTTTCTATCAAGCAGAAACTATAAAGCACGAGTTTAGTTCACTTGTAGTAATATAAAAACCTGCATTTTTTTGTCAAGAAATCTGAAAAGTTTTTAATTTGAATCAAAGTATATACTGTTCAAGACTTGGTTGGTTGTAATTAAGCACAAAGTTACACAATGGGCTACCCGTGCTCTGCCCACCACGGATATCGAGACCCGGTTTTTAGCGGTTTAAGTCCACAGACATACCACTTTCACATCTTTATTCTTCATGTAAACATCACTTCACACTCAGACTTGTCAGAGTGGTTAGATTTATATTGTCAATTTACAGATACATCTTTATTCTTCACGTAAACATCACTTCATGCACATTCAGTTAATAATGTATGACAACTTCCACACACTGCCATGCATGGGAAGATCAAATACATTTTCTTAGTCAATTCCTAGGAATTCTACAAAATTATGTCTTGAAAAGCCCCCCCCCCCCTTCCCAGTGGCTCTGTAAATTGACAAAATAAGCCCAACTACTCTGACAAGTCTGAGTGTGCAGTGATGTTTACGTGAAGAATAAAGATGTGCTGTAAATTGATAATATAAGTCCAACTACTCTGACAAGTCTGAGTGTGAAGTGATGTTTACCTGAAGAATAAAGATGTGTCTGTAAATTGATAATATAAGTCCAACTACTCTGACAAGTCTGAGTGTGAAGTGATGTTTACCTGAAGAATAAAGATGTGTCTGTAAATTGACAATATAAGTCCAACTACTCTGACAAGTCTGAGTGTGAAGTGCTGTTTACGTGAAGAATAAAGGTGTCTGTAAATTGATAATATAAGTCCAACTACTCTGACAAGTCTGAGTGTGAAGTGATGTTTACGTGAAGAATAAAGATGTGTCTGTAAATTGACAATATAAGCCCAACTACTCTGACAAGTCTGAGTGTAAAATGATGTTTACATGAAGAACAAAGATCTGTCTGTAAATTGACAATATAAGCCCAACTACTCTGACAAGTTTCAGCGTGAAGTGATGTTTACGTGAAGAATAAAGATGTATCTGTAAATTGACAATATAAGCCCAACTACTCTGACAAGTCTGAGTGTGAAGTGATGTTTATGTGAAGAATAAAGATGTGTCTGTAAATTGACAATATAAGTCCAACTACTCTGACAAGTCTGAGTGTGAAGTGATGTTTACGTGAAGAATAAAGATGTGTCTGTAAATTGACAATATAAGCCCAACTACTCTGACAAGTCTGAGTGTGAAGTGCTGTTTACGTGAAGAATAAAAATGTGTCTGTAAATTGACAATATAAGCCCAACTACTCTGACAAGTTTCAGTGTGAAGTGATGTTTACGTGAAGAATAACAATAATTTTGTCTATTGTACATTTTGTGTATTGCATTTGCATAGTCTCTAGAACTTCCAAAATACATATCTACTGTTTATTTGCAGTTTTACTTATATTGTATTTGGTATTTATTTTCCTCTATCATGAAATGTTGCTTATTTTTTTCCCACTTTTATTACACCACTTGTTAGTTTTTTTATGTATCTCTTGTATTGATCTTCTCATGTTTCTCCATATTTTTATATTCTTAACATTTCAAACAATTTGTCCCAGTTTATCAAATCAAATGTAGTCTTAAGATATAAGTAAAAAATATATAGTCTTCCCATTAATTTTCCAAATATTATTCTGTAAGTGGATTAATGATATAAATATCTTTGATTGCTACTCTCTCATTTCCAGAATCTGTCTATCCTTATTGAAATTTTCTTTTCCCTTCCACCGAGCTGCCTAATCCATCATTTGATATCATTTTCAGCATTTATATATATATTTATATGTTATAAAAATTATAAGACATTATTTTTAACACATGATTATAGAAATGTACACAACGTTTTCAATGTTACGACAGCGAAAGTCACGTAACGCTGGTAATACGTAATGAGTATCTAGAAGGATTGGGGAACATCATGAATAATCCAGTATTTGCTAGATGCCCTCTATTCCTGTATATAAGCAGGCAAATAAAGCGAGATAATTAATTGAATTGCAGACAGGCAGAGATAGAGATGGACAATTGAGTCAAGTGCGGTAGTAACCGTAAGTAAAGTGCGTGAATCGTTGTGAATTATAGCGTGTGTTTAAGTTAAAGTGACTGTGGAAATTAAGTTTATTGCAAAGTTGTAAAGAGAAAGAATAAACTAGTTTTATTTAAGAAAGGACTTGTACCGCTGAAGTTCCTCGGAAAGAATTTGGCCCCCCAGTGGACTTACAAGGCTAGAATCCGAGTTTCGATACCCGTGGTGGGCAGAGCACAGATAGCTCATTGTGTAGCTTTGTGCTTAATTACAAACAACAGCAACATACAAAAGATTATCTATTGAATTTAATAACATTATCAGGATTTTCTTTTAATAGGCTGATTATATAAAATAAATCTTATTATTTTAGAATAAAATTATTCATACAGTTACATATTTATATAAATTATATGTGGCATAATTGCTCATGTAAAGAGCAAAATGCAGATTACCTGAACTTCTTTACACAATACTTCAACCATTTGTCTTATATCATAAAATACTTCTAGCTTTGAGTAGGAAAATTATTACTCATTATATCAGACCAGTGATATCTATATGAGTGAATTACAAACATTTTTTTGCTGTTTACTTTATTGTTAATACTTTTGATATTCTAAGCTTTCTTTTATGAGTATTCCTTGCAATTTAGCTATAAGTATAGCATTTTTACATTTATGCCTATGTATAAATTTACATTTAAGCAAAAATAATAAAAAAAAGTCTTCTCACCTGAACAAAAATCAGATATGTAAATGAATGAATATTTTGACCATACGTCAATCCAAACAAGTACGTAAAGAATCCACTCATCAGCATTCCAAAAGCAAGAAAATATCTTAGGTTCATACGTTCGGCAACAAAACCACTGATAAAAAAAGTAAGAATTGAAAACTCCTTAATTAAACCAGACTCACAATTCTTTTATTATTCAATTTATTTTGTTTAAAGATTTGATATATAAGTTGGTTTCCAATAATAAATAATAATGGTTTAAAAGGTGTATTACTTATATTAATTGATCTATACATGCTTGAAGCAATTTATCAAACTATCTAAACTTAGGACATTTAATATAAAATTGAAAACTCCAAGCTTTTACTACTGTTTTTCACTAACAGCACACTTCCAGTAACACAAAAATAAATCCTATCAATATTTTCCTGTTATATTTTTTCCCATTTACACACTTTATACTAGTAAATAACTTTCAGAAATACTAATTTTAAAACATTTTGATTTATAAAAATCACCTTTTATTTTTTCAGAGGGCACGATTGAACCCTGGGACCTCTTGCACACAACACGAGAAGTCTAGGTATCAACTGAGCCAACAGGGTTAATGAATTAATAATTGCTAGTATGTTATTAAAACACTACCATATTCTTCCACTTTCAAAATAAGGCTGGTTCTCTAGCCTTCTCAGTGTGGTACAACCAGTAGCTAGGTGCTAATTTGCACTTTTTAACAACTCAAACTACCACAAGAATTTAGTACACCTCATATCTAATGATAGTTCTTGTTCTGTTCTTTCAGTAAATTTTTTTAACTGAAAACGTGGTGCCATTGTATTCATTGTACTCAGTTTTTTTTACCTTTGTGTAGATTATTCTGTTTAGGTATGACAAAAGAAAACATTTTTTTGAAGCATAAATTAGTAACAATGGAATAAGAAACCATAATATTTTTCACACCTGCAAATTTTTATACTACTTACTTTTGGTTGGAACTTATGTTGCTTGAATTTATTCTCTTTACTAAATTTTTGACTCGCTAAAAATATCCTTGTAATTATGTCATATTTACTAAAGCCATGTGAAAATTGCAAAACGCTGCAATTATTTTATCTAAATATTTAGTGTACAAACTCACCTTACAAACATAAAGAAGGCATAAGTAAACAAAAAAGCTGAATCCAAATATCCTAATAGCTCATTGGCATCATCTCCATCTATTCGAAATAAAAAATGATGGTTGTTTTTTTAATATGCAAGCACTATTTTTTAAAGAATCACATAAAAGTGCTTATGAAAAACATGAAATTATAAAATGACTGTTTCTGAACAAAAGTTACATAATTTTACTTCTGTATGGAAGCACATTATACTAATACAACAGTAAACTGACAAACAACAATTTATAAACATAATGAAAATTATGTTAGTCACATACCTTTTTGTTTTAATACAAATAATCAGTTGCCCTCTGTTGTTTGTTTTTATGTAGACTGTAAAAGTTTAAATTAATGATTGTTTCCTTGTGTGTCCTGTCTCATTCTTTGTGACCATCACACCCATCGGAAAACATTCCCACATATGAGATCCTCAAACCTTACCTTTTTATGGGTATGAACTTCTCTGGAAATCTTTGAGATAATAAATGTTACTCAATTGTGTTTGTAAGACCTCTTGTTTACTTATAACTGACTGACAGATTTGTGACTGTAGTATTAGTATATGATATTTTTTACAACAATAATAATTTTACTGGTTTTTCTGTTTCTCCTTGATATCCCTGAATTTTGGAAATCACATACCTGTAATACAGTTAAATACACTTATTACTAAACAATGAATTACTTTGGTGGATAATCTTAAAAAGTATGAAAATATAACACTAAAAATATCTCCCACAATGTTTTATACCCACCAAAAGGAGCCCAGTTGCACCAAGTATTTCTGTTCTGACTTGTGACATAAACACCTGCAGGGGGTTGCAGTTTGCTACAGTTTTGGTTAAGTACATTCTAGGTATAGAAGAACAAGAAAAAAAGAAATATTATATATATATATATATATACAATTTCACAAAATAAGATCTTTCAAAATAATATATTTTTTCTGATAAACTTAAACTACAAAACTTGTAGTAAATGCAAATGAATTGACAATTTTGACATAAATTATCCAGAGCACTGACAGCAACCAAGAAGTGTGGTATCTCTTTCAGGTAGTATCCATATAACTAGAGGCTTACTGCAGGAAATTCATTTGGAGTAAATTTGAATTGTGACTTTTGACTAAGTTTAAGTAAGAAAGTGACTGAGCACAAAGTAACAAAGTGAAGGTTGATCTGTATTCTTAAAACATGATCACAATTAAGACTACACTGAACAGAAGACAGCACTTTTACAAGATGTTTGAAGATATCTAGCCATGGGTAAGTCCAGATTTGTTAGTCTGTTGATAAAATTCCTATATATTTGTTTCAGACTGAGAGCATAGTATTAAAAATAAAATTCTGTAATACATCTCTCTCAGTATGCATGCACTACTAACTCCACTGACAGTAATTCCCATTGACAAATAAGTGAGGAAAGATGCCCAAAGTATCACCAGCCAGTGGAAAACATCACTGTCCACCTGTACATAGTGTACCTTATTTTACGAAAATCTTTCGCATAAGAGAGCATATGTGATGTCATGGGAGAATGACTCAGAACTATAGGTAATCAGAGTGTAAGTAACCCACATTTGTTGACCAAAGTTTTATTGTTCAAACGACACATACAGTTAGATAAATCTTGTAAATTCTTGGTGAAGTTGAAATGTTCAAAGAAGGTAAGAAATACTGGATATGCGTCCACAGGGGGTACAAGGGGCACTTTCCCCTCTGGAAAATGATGAGAAATATATTTATTTCATTATTCATTCTGTTTATATATATATATATTGTTACGACAGCGGAAGTCACGTGACTCTGGCAACACGTGATAAGATTCTAGAAGGATCATGACTTTTCCTGGCAACTCTAGTCTGTTCCAGACGCCCTCTTTTTTAGTATATAAGCCCGGCAAATAAAGAGGAGAGAGAATTACATAGATAGATAAATATAGAGAGAGATAATTGAGTCAAGCAAATTAAAGTGTGTGTGAATCACTGTGATTTATAGCGTGTGTTCATAAAAGTAGTCAAGTTTAAAGTGACGGCGGAATTTTCTGTGTATTACAAAGTTGTATCAAGAAAGAATAAACTATTTTTAATTAAGAAAGAACTTGTATCGCTGAAGTTCCT